GCGTGTGTGTGTGGATGGGTGTGTGTGTGTGTTTGTGTGTGTGCGCGCGCGGTCTTTGGGAAGGAAGGGGGTGGGGGGGGGGCAGCAAAGCAAATGACTGTAATAAACTTTTTCAGTTGATGATTGATGCTTACTTAGAATCCATCTTTCTTTTCAGCAAAAACAGATTTGTTCACTTACGAGCCTGGAGATTACTTCAATTACTTTACGACTGGAACTGATATACTTCCGTCCGGAGGGTAGGCACGGTTGCCATACTTATCTGTGAAAACTAATTTTTCATTTTCAGACTGATGTGCTTTTTCATGCTTCTGTTTACAGACTATATGTTACATATTAAGCCGATACAGTGTGCTTGTGGCGGGTGTGTGTGTGTGTGTGTGTGTGTGTGTGTGTGTGTGTGTGTGTGTGTGTGTGTGTGTGTGTTTGTGTGTGTGTTTGTGTGTGTGTGTTTGGTAATGTGTGTTTATTTTTCATTTGCATGTTAACTTTACGTTTTGAGGTCAACTCATTACTCGTGTTTTGGTTACGGAGATCAATCTTTAGATAGGGTCTAGATCTAGTACACGTGTTGGGAAATGGCATGGACCGCCTTATGTAAAGAGGAAGATCTGAGGATCACTGCCTTTGGGTGAATAGAAATGTAATTAATAGCAATACAAATCATGAATATTGAATTATAGCGAATGTTGTTGATGAATTTGTATAAAAGAAAAAATTATTTACCCTTTCACACGACATGCGAATAGCGCAAATAGTGACTGCACGCTTCGAAGCGTAGATGAAGTTTCATTTCCTCAAAAATATACAGCACCAACGGTGAGATAAAGTTCGAGTCCAGAGGTCTTTAAGTTAAGTTTGATAAAATACAAATTTGGATGAAATAAATGAATAATTATTTTCGTTTACCAACCCATCTTTTACGGTGCAGAGTGTAAAACAAAACAAATTAAAGGGCAATAACTCAGTCATGTTTGCGCATTTAAACAACACTTCCAGGGAATAAAATGCCACCAAGGGGACATTAATGGAGAAACTAAAATTTTCATAGACATGATACCTAAAAATAAGAACACCCGTTCAAAGGGCTATATTATTTTCCTTTCGGTATTTTTGAAAACAAAAGTTTACAGGAGTAACCCACTAACAATTGATTATTTGAAACTCAATGTTGATCAACAAGTCCAAAAATTAACCTAAAAACATGCCGCAGGGTCATTCAAATATTTTAGCTCTGTATGCGAGCTTGTGTGGAGAAAAATGGTCAAAACCCTGAGTATAGAAATAATGATATAATTTACATAGCCACCACAGTCGTTGAGTTTTGTTGTTGTTGTTGTTGTTGTTTTTTTCTTTTTTTGCTAATGACAATTTTGAATAGATGTGTTCTTTAGTATGCAAATACACATTGTTGTGGTTGATGTTTTAGAAGCTGTTAAGTTTTGCGTTTTACTAAATTTTAGTTGAAAGGCCAAACACTACACTTGATTTCCGTCAAAAATGACAGTTGATGTTGTTCATTTTAACATAATATTTGGCGTCCCCTTGTTTTAATTCTATTTCTGATTGTGTTTATTTATCGACACGTGATTTCAGGTACAACATTCAGCTAGCCCCAAATGACACTGAAACAATTGACCGCGTGATTGAAGTGCGTAATTCTGACTGGGTGGATGAAAACACAAGAGCATTGTTCCTGGAGTTTTTTATCTACAATACCGACTTGTACCTGGCCAGTTCTGTCACCATTTGCTTCCAGTTTAAGCGAGGTGATTTTTTAAAATGTATGCAGTTTAGCTTACGCAGTTACGAGTGCCGTAAAACTCTTACTAAACTAAAAGTAGGTTGTCCGTACCCACTCCCAAACACTTATATTTACACAAAATTGAAAAAAAATCCAGACCATTTAGAGGATGTGCTTTCAACCCTGCATGTCAGGCTGAGACTGAGAGGGATACAACATCCCAGCAAAAAGACCGAGACACTCATCGGTCGATAAAACTTTTCTCCCCACTCTGGAATACTGGTCTTCTGCGTACGACGGCGAGGCGCCCAACCGCTCCACCACAGATTCAAGTTAAGTGAGACAAACAAAATAAACTAGGTGGAGGAGGATACAATTCTAGTCCCCCTCTAAAATAAAAAACAATTCCAATTTTCCAATTGAAATATAAAACACAATTTATTTCAGAGGTTAAAGCAAGAACGTGAAAACTAGACCGCCAATATTAATTTATATTAATTTTTCTTTTTCTTTTTTTTATTACAAAAAGGTTATTAAACATATTTAAATATTTATATTGTTATTATTTTCTGCTCTTTTTAATTCTTTATATTTATTGTTCCTTCTTTCCAATCAAACACCTATCATCCTTACTCCTCTTGTCTTTCTTTCTTGTGTAGTAAACACTATAATTTTATTATGAAAATTTCAATCAGATAGGAAAACAGAGCAGTGACAAATACTACTTAAAAGTTCGACTTAACATTCCATGTGCTTATTAGTATTTTGTTTAGAGCCAGGGTATCGTGTAGAGCACGAACCCCTTTGGGCCAGGGCTGTATTTAAAATTATAGACAAAATTATCTTTCATTTTATCTCAAAATGTCACCAAAAAATTGCAAGTAAAGCGTCTGAATTGGGACTAAACTCGTGTTCTTCATCTGCTGTTTCATGGGCTTTCACATGTCTTTAGGATTCATATCGGGGCTATTAACTGGTTACCACTCCATTGTTAGTATGGTTTGGTTTTTCAAGACATTTTTAAATGTGGTCAGTATCATATTTGTTAAAAAATAAAATAGTTTATTTGGTTTTGCTCTGATTTTTGTATTTTTGAGGTTTTTTGTTGTTGCTGTTACTGTTGTTGTTGTTGTTAGTGATGGTGGTGGTGGTGTGTGTGTGTGCGCGCACGTGTGTGTGTGTGTGTGTGTGTGTGTGTGTGAGTGTGTGTGTGTGTGTGTGTGTTTGTGTGTGTGTGTGTGTGTCTGTTAGTGTGTGTGTGCGCGCGTTTGATTTGGGATTATTTTTTAGTTGGAGGGTGGAGGGTATTTCACTCACAGAGCCACTTTGTTGGTGGGATTTGGCTAAACGGCAACGTCATTTTGTTGTTTCTTTGGTCCACTTAGCGGGAATCTTTCAGGAGAGCTTCGTGAGCACCTATCCAGTCCGGCTTCGTCAGGATACGTACTACTTATTCGTTGGCGCCTTCATCTTCTTTGTCCTGCAGGTCATATATGGCCTCTTCTCTGAGCTCTTCACGGTGAGTCCACAGTGCAGCTGTGACAATCGTGTCTGTGAGGGTGTGTGGGGAGGTGTGGTTGGAATTGAGGGAAGAGAGAGAGAGAGAGAGAGAGAGAGAGAGAGAGAGAGAGAGAGAGAGAGAGAGAGAGAGAGAGTGTGTGTGTGGGGGGGGGGGGTTTGCATGTGTTTGTGTGTGTTTGCGTGTATTGTATATGTATGTGTGTGTGTGTGTGTGTGTGTGTGTGTGTGTGTGTGTGTGTGTGTGTTACTGATATGCCCTTGTGTGTTGAAATTAAATCTAATGTTATCGTGTAATGGTTTTGTTAACTGCATCATACGTGTTTGCATCGTAGTCCTCATACCAGACGTCTAGAGCAGAAGCCCATGTAAAACGCAGTAACTTGGTCATCTTTACATTAATTTTAACAAATCATCGGACAAATTAAATTTAACCGAGCTGACATCAAATTCATCAATACGAAAAGAAAATTATCAAGTATTTAAAATACCAATCACAATTGAGTAAAAATCAAAACATTGCAATGTTGTAAAAATCAATCGTAATAATAATGATGTAGACTGTTAGTAGTTAGTGAATTAAAATGATATATTTACTAAACAGTGTAATTCGCATGAACAGTGTGTCACACTAAAAAAGATGACCCTTTCAAAAAGTATTGTTTTCTTTTGGGAGTTTTGAAAAACAAATATTCCAATCGAAGAGTCGAACGTCAGCGTTGAACTGGAAATCCAATGGATCATTTGAGTAACATGCCGCTGATTTATTCAAAATTTCCTGTAGCGTCTTTTGAGCTTTTAGGAAAGAAATGGTCAACACCAAGAGCTTATTATGATTTGAATAGCCACTACCTGCTCTGGCTTTGTTGGGCAATATCAAATTTAAATGGAATCCATCTTTGATGTTCAACGGCACATGATGGTTAATTTATAATGATTTGTATAGTTATTTTACATTAACATATTATGGCATATCCACGCCCTGCAGCATGCTTGATGTGTTTCACAACAATTATTACCCCAGCAAAATCGAGAATACTCAGAAGCATTCTCGACTTTTCACGAAGCATACAGAGCATGCTGCAGATTACGCGTTAAAAACACTAAGAAACTGAAAAGATCTTACGTAGTTTATAGCAGGGTACTCATTCCCACCTGGAAGAAGTCAGGGAATTCGTGCAAAGTGCATTTCTCAGGGATACAACATCGAGTCCAAGACGTTGTTCAAACCCACCACTTGTCTCCTTTCACCTCCTTTCCTGCTCTCTAGCAATGTTCTGTTGTCTGCTTTCGTTTGCCCCCTCATCTGGGCTCCTGACTCTTTCTGCAGCCGGTCTACTGCTACTCCTTGGCTCCTCCTTACTGCTGTCTTTCTGCCACACCCCTGATCTTCTGGTAGGAAAGATCTACACCTAGCCTTCTCGGACAAGGGCGAAAAATCTCGGAAGGCCCGTGTGCAAGTTGCGCACGTTAAAGATCCCTTGGTGGTCTAAAATCGATAAGAGTAGGCTTCGGCCGCCACCCGGGCAAAATTCTAAATTTCCTACCAACTGAAAATATTAGGTGTGTCCCGCGTGCTCATATGACCTTATGCAGTTGCAAGCGCCGTAAAAACACTTACCAAAACAAAATACTAAAACCCCACCACATTGCGAGCCCAACAGCCTAACCACTAAACCACCGACGCTTTACGAAGTTTAAACATGTTTGCGTTTTGGCACTTATTTTACCTATTTATTCTTGTTGGAAGTGCCGTATAACCCTCACCGAATTTAAACTGAAGTTTGGCATTTTACTCAGTTTTGACTACAATATTTTTAAACTGAATATTTCTTGAACAAAAATGTAGATGCACTTCTTACAGGCAAATGGGACGTCCTTTTAGCTGTATATTGTTTGTTCGAAGTAATCATTTTAGTGGAGTTGGTGAAGAGATGACCCAGTTATTGCCCTATTAATGGGTCCCTGTTTAGATACTCAATACTTTCCTTTTAGGTTTGGCAAAAATGAAAAAAAAGAAAGAAACCTATCAATAAAGGGTAATTAGGATAATAATAAAAAAAAGATGAAGTAATGGTAGTGGTAGTAGTAGTTGTAGCAGCAGCGGCAGCAGCATTAGTAGTAGTAGTAGTAGTAGTAGTAGTAGTAGTAGTAGTAGTAGTAGTAGTAGTAGTAGTAGTAGTAGTAGTAGTAGTAATAGTAGTAGTAGTAGTAGTAGTAGTAATAGTAGTAGTAGTAGTAGTAGCAGCAGTAGTAGTAGTAGTAGTAGTAGTAGTAGTAGTAGTAGTAGTAGTAGTAGTAATAGTAGTAGTAGTAGTAGTAGTAGTAGTAGCAGCAGTAGTAGTAGTAGTAGTAGTAGTAGTAGTAGTAGTAGTAGTAGTAGTAGTAGTAGTAGTAGTAGTAGCAGTGGTAGTGGTAGTGGTGGTGGTGGGGGTGAGGGGGGGGGGCGGCGGCGGTGGCGGTGGCGGTGGCAATAGCTGTAGTTGTGGTTTTAGTTATAGTAGTAGTATCTTGCAAACGACTCTGAATAATCTTTCGATTTTGATTAATTGCAGTATAGACTAGTTAATGCTAGCTGAGAGATAGTCTATAGATCACTGGAGGTTTTTTCCCCTTTAATTTTAACAATTATACTTTGTTTTACATAAATATGTGTTGGTTTCAAACATTAGGGGTTTCCTTTTACTGCTAATAACAGTAAAAGGTAACCCCTAATGTTAGTCAAAGGTATACCAATAGAAATGATAATTATTATCGTATATGTTGGTGTACCTTTGACTAACACGCTAATTTACGCATTCATTCTTTGATCCCCATGTACGACCGGAAGCTTTTCAACAATGGTTTTGGCAAGTACTTCAGGAGAGGCCAGTCTTATTTTGAGCTGGGTAAATTAACAGTGTGTGGTTTTTTCATCGGAGGCACCGTTCTAAAGTATATGGAAATAGAGTGAGTGCTGTTCACACACTGCGGAAGCCTGCCAGTTGTAGAAATTCCAACGCTACCATGATGTTGTTGCATGCTGATATTGATGCTAATCGTTTAAACAGACAAACATTCTAGCAATTTTGTGCATGGTACAGTAAGTAAGTCAGCAAGTGAGTAAGTAAGTGTTAATTCAATGTTAAAGGCCTTTGACCCATATAACATAAAGCACCCATTTTACAGAAGAGACTTTACTGACAACAGTATAAGTTAAACGACATACATATCAATAACATTTTGAATTTATGTTGTGTTATAACGTAGAGTTTCCATAATGAAACAGTTCAGGTTGTGCACATACATCTTCTCATCGGTCAAACATTGTATATTTTTCTCAGTGGGTTGAGTGAGACTGGAGAGGAGGGGTGGGGTGGGAAGGGGGGGGATAGACATTAATATTCTTCTTTCGAAAGTCAACTTTTGAGCAATAAAAAAAAAATAAAGAGAATTTCATCTTCATTTTCATGAGAGTTACTCCTCTCACAGAAAGGTGAATTTATTCACTTCCACCGATAAAGATTGTTATTTAATGAAAGGTTATCTGTTTTAGTAAAGCTATGAGCCTTCGATTTCAATACCGTTGAATGTTGATGATATACGCTGCTGTTTCTAGAGAGAAAATTGTAAAAGAGATTAAATTATACTTGCCACAGACTTGTTTCTCTGTGTTCTGCACATAATTATCGACAACCCCATGTTTACTTCTCTGAGAAATAACCTTGTGCTTCAAAAACTTTGAGAATAGAGGAATAGAGTATTCCCTACCCAGGGCTTTTCACCCTATTCCTCCATTATATTGATCCCCGTCCTTTCCTCATTGTAAAGGTTGAACGGCGTCACAGGTAGGTTCTACTTCTTTTCTTTTAACTCTGTCTGTCGTTTTTGTCTGTCTGTCTTGCATTTTCTCTGAACATAACCACCAATGTGTCAACATGTGTCTCTTACCCTAACAGACATTTCTTCGACACATTCAAAGATGCGCCCAAGTACGATCGCTATGTCAGTTTCGCCTTCCTAAACTACCTGGTGTTTGCAATGAATTCCCTCTGCTGTATTCTTGCCTTCGTGGTCCTGTTCCAGATTCTGCTCAAAGCCAAGTGAGTATCTGGTCATTTGGAAGATTGACCTAATCTGAGATCCTAGTGGATTAACGACACATGAGATCCAAAGCACCTTTTTAGGAATATCTTATACCCTTCTTTGTGTTGACATTGGTGTTACTTCTATACTATATGCCATACCATACCACGAACACATAAAAAAACGTACATGCAAACGCACAGATTCCAACAACAACAAAAACACAGATGTTAACACATGTACACACACACACACACACACACACACACACACACACACACACACACACACACACACACACACACACACACACACACACACTCATAAACACAGACATAAAACTACAAAACACACTCACACACACCATAATACATGCACTCATTTACTCACATGCTCACACACACACTCACACACACACATACACACAC